TCTTCGGATATCTCTGCACCTTGGTTTCCGAAAGCCTCAAATACCTACCCTAAATATCATCACTTGAGAGGGCTCAGGACTAGAAAAGATTCAAAATTGATCTAACACTCCAACCTATAAGTCGACAACGTTCAACCATTATGTTTTGGTTTGAAAAAAATATTCCAATCAAAAGTTAAAATTCATGGTTTTCCAATGGGATGTACGATAGATTTACTTCCTCGTGGTGCACAATGGGCAACGTATACTCATACGGAAAAAAGGTCTATTAACCGGCGGTTGACTTCTGACTTCAAATTACAATGGCCCAACTGTCTGCCATATTCAACCTTTTCCACAGTACTCATCCTACCATATCTCTGCCTTTGTGTCTGCCTCTTTTACATCTGTAAATCACTCTTCTATTCCCCACCCCTCGACCTTCTGTTACTTTGCTGTTCCTTCCCCCTGTGAAGCCCGAAGTGAGCTAAAGGGCTAATGGGAACTATCGAAACGCCCGCCATTTGAAATAAGTAAATAAAATGATTTCCCATTAATTGGCAACATGCAATGGTGAGGAGGAGTGAGTTTGATTTTCAAGGTCATTTGAAGTATACTAGATCTCATTGTCGAAGAGGTGATATTCTATCGTGAAGTCGTCACCACACCTCCCATTGAAGGGCAAGTGGCTGAGTTTGGAAAAACTCTGTTCTTGTTACATATTGGCACTCGCGTACTCATTCATAACTTCACAGGACTGAGCAATCGCACGTGTACTCGAGTGTACCTTTAGGCTAGCGGTCGTTCGTGCAGATACACTCTCATCCATTCAAGTAATGTTAAATGGCAACAAACGCCATTCCCACTATAAATCCGTTTTCTCAATGGCAAATTCCTTGTTATTTTGCCGTGAAGATTTTTGGAATAGGCCAAGGCAACTCAATTAGTGTTGGAAATTTCAATATATTCAGCTTTTTAAATTGAAAGTTAATGGTCTTATCCATGTCTATTACCTTAAAACTGTTTTTGATGTTATAATAGACCTGAACAACTCAAAAGTTTTGTCGAATTGAATGTTTGGTGGAAATTGTCAGTTTTAAACATGGAACTACTTAATATTGACTATGTAATAGCCGTTGCATACTAGACAACTCATAAGGATCTATTATTTCAACATTGTTGGTGCGTTTACTGCTATCATTCAAGTAGATTAGGAAGTTTATCCAAGATTTGAGTGTACACATGAGAGCATGTTAAATTGAAAAAAATGGTGAGCCAAAGCAGTACAATTTCAGGTCTTTTTCACAAGCAGGTAAGTTGCATGCACATCTTTAACTAAGTGGCCACCTCATTCTTGACAGTCTCTTATAAGGCAAAGGTTTAAATTCAGTGTTGGGCAGTGTCATGAAATCTCTCGCGACAATAGTACCGTGGGTCAACTTAAACTCCGTAGTTCTCCAAATTCGCTTGATCTTCTCAGCAACCCGGGTACTATTCATATAAGGCCAAACCACTAGTGGTTGTTTTGGTGTAAAAGTGGTGGATTTGATTGTGAATCGATTACCATTTAATGGAACAGCGATGTGGACAAACGAGTAATCGGCTTGCTTGGAGAAAAGTACTCGAATTGGAAATAAAGGTGAAGATGGCCAGGTGGAAGAGGATGAGGAGGGGTAGGCATCTTTGTTACTTCCATGAAATTGAGTAACTTTCAATGGATTGATAGTACATGATGACATGTTCCTAATTGCTGTGGAGAAATGGAAGTGTTTTGAGCAAGGTAATAGAACTGTGAGGGGTTGGGGGTGGGTGGTTGGAAGGAGAGAGGAATCATGATGGATGGATCTGCATACCTATGAAGCCCACTTAGAATTTGCTTATTTAAGAATAATGGCCAATGAGTGCCTTATCGACTAAAATTGAGCTTAGAAGACCCTAAGGTGAATCATTTGAAGACTCGATGCTTACATTAAAGTGCAATTTCAAGTTTACTTGCAAATCAACGTAATTCTCGGCTTAAAGTGCACAAAATCGTGAATTCGGTTCATCCGAATCTATTAGATGAAAGACGCTGTCGTAGCTGGAATCGCAATAATTGAAGTGAAACCGTGGATATGGGATCAACGACAGTGTTTTGATGCTCTAACCTTTCCACTCGAAGATATAGATCAAATCACTTGCATCGATGATGGACGTGAACTATAGATAGGTAGCTCTTAAAATTTGTCCAGACTTGGTTGAGGAATATGTGGAAATTCTGTTTTATTATAATCTAACTGTAACACTTAATCATCATTCAAGCCACTTTCCGCAAAATTCTTTATCTTTCCAGATACCTAAAAATTTAAATTGTACTTTTTTCAATGCACTTTGTAAAAGCACTTATTTCAAGTAATGCTTTCTGATCCAGCAGGTTGGGACAGATCAATGAACTACATTTAGGGCTATAAATGCTCTGACGGCAATCAAGAGATCGAAGATACTCTCAACAATGAAGTTATGTTTTCTGATTTTCGGCATTCTTCTCTTCAGTGTTCTCGTGACTTCGGAGTATTGCTTTTCTACTACTATTGATGATAGCTGCGAAAATTATGGTTGTCAAGAATACCCGTGTGACGAAGAAGACAATTCATATGACAAATATGACTACTTCGGAGAAGAGGAAACAGAAGTATCCAATGAAAGGAATGAAGAAGGCTTTGAAATAGAAGAAAAAGAAGATGCAGATAATGATCATCATAAATGCAAAAGAAAAGATGAAAACAATGACGGAGAAAAAGAAACAGTTAGAGTGGATACAGGAGCTGAAGCAGAAAACAAAGTCAGTGGTGGCGATGGCGGTTTGAGGGGCAGTGGCGAAGAACGGACTTTGGAAGTGCAAATGCTGAAACTGCACAATGAGTTTCGTAGACGTGCTTCCGAAGGAACGGTGCCTGGTCAGCCAATTGCTAAAGGACTTCAAGATCTCGTAAGTCTCTTCTACTCCACGACTTGTCTTCGTTTAGGTTTGGAACGAAACGCTAGCAAAACTGGCTATGAACAATTCTCGAGATTGCAAATTTGGTGCCTTATATAGCACTGAAAAATTAGGACATGGCCAGAATATTGGCCACGCGAGAACTGTTGAGGAGTAAGTGATTGTGAATGTTTGTGACGAAGTTATTTCCCTACCTTCACTGTATCATGCTGTTGAAATTTTAGAATCTTCCACGACTGGATTAATGAAGGCAAATTTTACGACTATCAGTCAAATACTTGCACGGATTACTTTCTAAAATGCAGAAATTACAAGCAGGTGAGTGGAAGATGAACTGAGAGAAGTGTGGTAATTTGCCAATTGGTGTTATTCGCGTTAATTGCTAATAAACTGTTTCATTTTTTGAAAAAAAAATATTTATCCATATGTGCACATATTCTTTCAATTACCAGTTGGTGGCAGCGAACGCAAGGCACGTGGGCTGTGCTAAAACCCTGTGCCACACTGGAGGATATTATCTGGTTTGTGTCTACTCTCCTGCGTAAGAATAAGGCATTTTTTGATAATATATATATATATATATATATATATATATATATATATATATATATATATATATATATATATATATATATATATATATATATATCGGAATAAAGAGTTTACTAAGAAATATAGATTCAGGTAGTCGGAGAAAATTTTCCTAATTTACTATCTGAGTTTTTTTTTCTTTTGGTAGCTGTGTGTTAGAGGAAGTGCCTTACTAAGGGAGGCCCATGGGATACTATCCACATTCTCGATTCTACCAGATGTGTTGATCCATCTTCCACATCTTCTCTTTCGAAAGTCCTTTAATTCAAAATAAAATCAATGCTTCTAACTGTCAAGTCTTGCCTTCTTCTGTACCTATTAGAATGATCTTATTGGGGGTATTCAATGAACTAAGTGTTAACTTCAAGTAAAGTAAGCACTATCTGAACAAAGTAACAATTTGGTGACACATTTTCATGAGGAAAGTTCA